AAAAACCATAGCTATTCATTTATTCAACTTTTTTGGTACTCTTCACAGTTTAAAAGGCTGGGGATGCTGAGTGTTTGAACGCCTGTCCAACATGTAAAGGCTCAGGTTTAATGGCCACACTAGAAAAAATTAAGACTAAATATAGTAACAATTGTTCATGCACTTTCTTCTGCCAAATCATTCTTAAAAAAAAAATTAATTTGGGGGCTGGAAAAACAGCTGAGTCAGAGTAGCGCTTTTCCATGCAAGCATAAAGACTGGAGAGCTATCTCTAGTGCCTACATTTAAAAAAAAAAACAAAACCACTTGGGAGGCCGCGGTTCAAGGCCACTCTGGTCTACAGGACAGCCAGGACTACATAGAGACCCTGCCTCCAAAAGTAAATAAACAAAATGGGACAGCATGGTAGTTCATGCTACTAATCCCAACGCTCTGGAAGCAGAGGCAGAAGGATCTGTGAATTCAAAACCACCCTGGTCTACACAAGTTCCAGGCCATCAAAGCTGCACCATAGTGAATGAGACTATGTCTCAAAGGAAAAAAGGGGGGGGGGGGGCTGGTGAGATGACTTAGCAGGTAAAGCTGTCTGCCATTGAACCTGATGACCTTTGATGGAACCCCAGGACACATACAAAGGAATAGGAATGACTCCTGCAAGCTATCTATCCTCTGATCTCTACAGGTGTGTCATTACACAAAAAAGGAAAGGTGAATACATGTACATATACTAACACACAAATACACAAATAAATGTGGTGGTGGAAGAGCCAGTTCTAGGGAAGATTGCCAACCAACATAATCAAAAGGTGATGTACAGGTTCAGTAAGAAACTTGTCTCAAAAAATAAGTGAAAAGTAGCCGGGCGTTGGTGGCGCACGCCTTTAATCCCAGCACTCGGGAGGCAGAGCCAGGCAGATCTCTGTGAGTTCGAGGCCAGCCTGGGCTACCAAGTGAGTTCCAGGAAAGGCGCAAAGCTACACAGAGAAACCCTGTCTCAAAAAACCAAAAAAAAAAAAATAAGTGAAAAGCAATTGAGGACGACATCCGTCATCCAACATCCATCTTGGCTTCTATAGCATGTACATGTGCACACATACAATATAATACAAATGAAGACATGAGGTAAGAAACATAAAAACCTACAAATATGTACACATATTGATTTTCAATGATAGCTAACAACTCTAAGTAAAACTAAAGAAAAAACTGAGTACTGTATTTGGGGCAAAAGGCATAATGTTACCTCTAATTAGCATAAAAGAAAGTCATTCCACACCTTATTTTATTTTTGAAACAGGGTCTCTCTATGTAGGCCTGGCTGTCCTGGTACTCACTATGTAGAACATGCTAGCCTCAAAGTCACAGAGATCCACCTGCTGTGATTAAAGGCATTCCCCATCACAGCATATAATGCTAATAACCTAAAATTTAAAATGCTACCATCTAAAAAAGCATTAAACTTTAGTTAGAAAAAGTTTGTAATGTTTCAAATTTCGTAAAAATCTGAGGCAAAGGGAAATGAGAAATTATTGTTTAATGGGTTCAGAGTATCCTTTAAAAAAAAAGGTTTTTAATTTATGTATATGTCTCTATGCTGTCAGAGACCAACAGAGGGCATTGGATCCCCTGGAGTTGGGAGTTGTGAGCTGCCAGATGTACGTACTGGGAACTGAACCTCGGTCCCCTGGAAGGCAGCAAGCACTCTTAATCAATGAGCAAACTCACCATGTTTCAATTTCACAAAATCTCATGAAAAAATTCTGGAGGTAGATGTGGTGATGCCACATTATAATGTGAATGTCTTAAAAAATACCAATGAAGGACCAGCAACATGACTTAATGGGTAAAGGCACTTGCTGTAAGCCTGACAAACTGAGTTTGAACCCTGGGGCCCATGTAGTGGAAGGAGAGAACTTACTCTAGAAAAGCTGTCCAGCTGGTACTGTGGTGGCTCACGCCTTTAATCCCAGCACCTGGGAGGCAGAGACAGGCAGATCTCTGCGAGGTGGAGGCCAGCCTGGTCTACAAAGAGACAGCCAAGGCTGTTATACAAAGAAACCCTGTCTCCAAACAAACAAGTTGTGCTGACATTTGTGGTACTCACGCAACACCCTAAACACATACACAAAGCACCAAAAGCCTATACTGTAAGTTTAAAACATCTTTAAATTGAATGCAGATGTTCATGCCCGTAATCCTAGTAATTGGTAGTCTAAACCTCCACTATGACTTAGAATTTTCAATTCTTTTCTATCTGCAGTCCAGTTAGAACTTCTGAGCTCTGGTCCCTTGTTGAGAATTTCTGTATCATGAGGTTGTAAGTAGTACAACACATACCTATAGTGTTCAAGACTCTGGGTTTTGCTCACTCTCTCCCCTAAGAATCAAATACAGTAATTTTTTTTCAAATGCCAAACGACCAATGCCTTATTTCTGACTGTTGTTTTTACTTTTGTTTTTGTTTTTAATTGGTTTTTTGAGACAGGGTTTCTCTATGTAGTTTTGGTGCTTGGCCTGGTTCTCTCTCTGTAGACCAGGCTGGTCTCAAACTCACAGAGAACCGCCTGTCTCTGCCTCTACCTCTGCCTCCTGAGTGCTGGCATTAAAGGCAAGACATTAATTTTCAATAAACTGAATCAAAGAAATGACTAATGGGGATATTAACTATACATAGTTGTTTAGTGAAAAACACAGTTAATAATCCTGCCTCAATATTCATTAGCTGAGCTGAGGTATGTAGAGGTGTACACCTTTAATCCAAGCACTTTGGAGGCAAAGGCATGTACTTTATCTAAACTGGGAAATTATGGCTGGTTTAACATTAGGGTGACTTGGATGTAAATTCTTTCTATTGCTTAGTCTTTACTAAATTCTTTAACCTCTCAACTTGTTCCCTCAACTGTAAAAACAATGCAATGTTGTTTTAGAGAAAGGAGAGGGCCTAGCACTCTAAAACACTAAACGTACCAACTAGTAAAGTTCACATTTAATAAAGTCAAATCAACTTGAAACTCAATTTATTCTGGAAATTATACAGACAAACGAACCTCACAATCTTTTGTCTAATTTGCTGCCTCTCCCTTTCTCTCCTTTTAAAACATGCAACATAGCTGGGCTAAGCAGTGGTGGCACACACCTTTAATCCCAGCACTCCCAGCACTCAAGAGGCAGAGGAAGGTGGATCACTGTGAGTTCGAGGCCAGCCTGGTCTACAGAGTGAGTTCCAGGACAGGCACCAAAACTACACAGAGAAACTGTCTCGAAAAAAACAAAAAGAAAAATGAGGTAACTGATCTCAAAACTTTTAGTGGTCTGCTTCAAATATCCAAATTAATACATATTACTAACCTTGGACATACAGTAATTAAGTGTCTTTAACGTCTAATTTAAGGATCCCAAACTTACTAGCTACATAAACTTCAAGGAAATGTAAAAGGTAAAATAGCAGAGGGAAAATATGAGTGTATAGGGAATATAAGGAGGAATTTGCTTAATATACAATACACGTCTGTAAAAAAAAAAAGGCATAAATACCACGTACAACGAATATACACAATGAAAATAAAAATAAATAAAATCGCTTATTGCTGGGCGGCGGTGGCGCACGCCTTTAATCCCAGCACTTGGGAGGCAGAGGCAGGCGGATCTCTGTGAGTTCGAGGCCAGCCTGGGCTACAGAGTGAGTTCCAGAAAAGGCGCAAAGCTACAAACCCTGTCTTGAAAAACAAAAAACAAATCGCTAATTTATTTTATGCCAGACTATCAGGGAATAAGATTCACCCACCGCCTTAGAACCTCCCGCGCCCCCCGCCCCCCATTAAGTTGGCCCCAGCTTCCAAGTCCATTATACAACCTGTGATTCCTTCCCTCATGAAAAGATTCTTTTTATGGGCATAGTTAACAAACGCCAAGTTGCAAAGTTGCACTTTGCTGGATTGACGTTTTCACAATGTAAGAACAATATGATCTGGAATCTACTCAAAGCATTTGCCAGGCAGTCAGCTGATGCTCACTGAACACAACAGGGCAGAAATGAGAGAAATTATACTTCATGATTTAAGGCAGGTAATCACCACCTTGAAATCTCAAAGAGGCGGGCGGCGGGCGGCCCAACACAACACAACCCCCGCACGGACCCCACACCACCACAAAAACCGGGCTGCTCGGTTAAGTTTCTCTCCTCCCCGAAATCTTCCTTGCAAACAGCTTTTTTTAACAGGTCCGCGGAATGGAGCCGCAACCACGCAGCCGCAGCCCGAGTAACTTTTACAAAAGGTCAGAGCGGTGCCTTTCAAGGCTTCCGACCCCGGGAGGGCTTCGCCGCTCAGACTCACGCGCTCGCTTCGCCCCACAGAACGTTCCAGAGCTGGCGACCGAGACCCAACACAATTTGGGCCCAGCTTGGGGGGGCCGGGGTGGGGGTGGGGCCCTTCCCTCGCCCTTCTCCCCCCCCCAAAAAAAAAAAAAAAAAAAAAGCAAGCACGCCCCTCCCCACACGAGCAGAACCGAGTCCACGGCGACTCCCGCGGCTCGCCTTCAGCTCCGGGGGTCCCACATGTTGCTCGCCCCGGCCCCAGGCCGGCCCCGCGCGGCCTCCTTCACCCCGGAACGCGCCCACCTGATCACCCTTTCTCCGCAGACTCCGCCCCCCCCACCGCCCCCGCCCGTTCGCCTCCTCCAGGAGCTCCATATGGGACGCTCCGCTCTCCCTCAGCTCCTCACGCCACCTCAGCCGTGCCCCCGACGCGCCACCTTCCCTTCCCCGGCGCCGAAGCCGCCGCCGCCCCGCCGCCGCCGCGGGCCCGACCCCCAGCGCGGCCTCCAGTGTGCCGAGCGCACGGCGGGGCTGCAGGCCTGCACGGCCCAGGTGCTGTGTCAGCCTCTCGGCGGCGGGTTCCGCGGCGTGGACGGCCTGGAAAGTCACATGGCGCTGGGACCGGCCCGCGCCCCCGACCCTGGGGCCCTTCTCAGAGCCGCCCCGGGCGCCCGAAGCCGCTCACCTCCACGAAGAGCAACATGTCTGCTTCCGCTCGGCCCGATCGCTCACGCTGCCGCGACTCCAACTGGCTCACAGGCCCGGGCCCCAATCGGTAGGATAAGGACACTCGCCTTGCCCCTCCACCCGGCAGTGGACCCGGCTCCTCCCCCGCCGTCAGCCGCGGCGCCCTGGCCCGCCCAGGCCCGCCTCCCTGGAAGCAACAACTGTTTCCGGTTCTGCAGACAAACTGCTTCCGGGAGGGGGAAGCCCGCCCCGCCCCCCCCGCCCCCGCCCCCGCCCCGCGTGCTTCTCGCTGGCGTCGCCCGAAGTGTCGCCTTCCCCTGGCGCGTGGGTCCACGCTCTGCAGGCCCGCGCCGTTCGGTGCCACGGGTTGTGTCAGACTCTCATGGACCCGTTCTGCCTTTTATGAAAAAGATGACTACCGCACGCCTAATGATTGCGGCCGCTGTCGTGGTTGAGAATCCAGGTTTGATAAAAAGGCGGTAGTGTGCGACGGCGTCGACCCAACGCCCGCCCCTGCCGAAAACGTACTGGCTCGCCGAAAAAAACGCAGAAGCGGGCGCGGGGGAAAAAGGCTGTGGTAGTAGCAAAGATACGATGCAGCTACTCTAAATTGAACGCAGACTGCGTGCCTGGAACCGTACTAAGCATATTGCATAATGAATAAGACCCAATGAATAAATTGTTACTCTCCCCATTTTTGTTGAAGGAGCCCTACAGCAGATCAGATTCCTTTAGACACAACTTTAATATTACTTAGCCCCAGGTCCCTTGGAATCAGGGATTCATTAACATAATGATGCTCCACTTCTATCCTTAATGTGCTAACTAATAATTAGTCTAGGTTTCCTTTTTATTGGTGTTTTCCTATTCAAATAAAATTCTGTTAAGCTTTTTTAAATCTATGTTTTTGTTTTGTTATTTTGCTAGAGTTATTTTTTCCTTACCAGTCTCCTTTAGTTTCAAACACTTTTTGGGTTTTTTGTTTTGTTTTGTTTTTGTTGTTGTTGTTATTGTTGTTGTTTTTCCGAGACAGGGTTTCCTCTGTGTAGTTTTGGTGCCTGTCCTGGATCTCGCTCTGTAGACCAGGCTGACAGACATTTGCCTGGCTCTGCCTCCTAAGTGCTGGGATTAAAGGCGAGAGCCACCACCACCCGGCTTGTTTGTTTTTTGAGACAGGGTTTTTCTGTGTTAACAGCCTTGGCTGTCCTGGAACTAGATCTGTAGACCAGGCTGGCCTCGAACTCACAGAGATCTGCCTGCTTCTGCCTCCGGAGTGCTGGGATCAAAGGCGTGTACACCACAACCACCTCAAACTTTTTTTTTGAGACAAGAGCTCTCTGTGTAGATAGGTTGACCAAACTAACCTCGAACTCCAGATTGTCCCACCTTTGCCTCCCCAGTGCTGAGATTAAAAGCGTGTGCCACCATGCCTGGCTACATTGATCTTTTGAAATAATTATGTCTGCCAGATGTAGTGTCATGATATACAGTGAAACGTTGTCTGGAGTGGGGAAAAGCTTTTACTTGCCATAATATTTTCCAATTTTTTTCCCCATTCAGTGATTAAAGAAAAAAAAAAAAAAACACCTTAAAGCCAGATGGTGATGGCACTCGCGTTTAATCCCAGCACTCAGGAGGCAGAGGCAGGCGGATCTCTGTGAATTCGAGTCCAGCCTGGTCTACAGAGTAAGTTCCAGGACAGGCTCCAAAGCTACACAGAGAAACACTGACTCAAATAAATAAATAAATAAGATTCATATTTATTATCTTTAATTACATATTGTGTATGTGTCTGAGTTCAGCTATGTACACATGGAAGAAGAGCCCTTGAAGGCCGGAAGCCACAGATTCCCTGGGCCTGGACTCCAAAGTGGCTGAGAACCACCAGATGTGGGTGCTTGGAACCTTTTGCAAAAGCAGTGTTCTCTTGGTGGCTGAGCCATCTCTGCAGCCCCACGGTCTTCCTCTCATCCCCCCCCCCACCACACACACACACACACACACACACACACACACACACACACACAGGGTTTCTCTGTAGCTTTGCGTCTTTCCTGGATCTCGTTCTGTAGACCAGGCTGGCCTCAAACCCACAGAGATCCACCTGCCTCTGCCTCCCGAGTGCTGGGATTAAAGGTGTGCGCCACCACCAGTGGCCTTCTATTCTTAATCCATGTAATCTCCTTTGGTTTGCAACACAAGAAACTCCTCACTTTCTCACAGTGATACCAAACTCTCTTCACCATTAAATTGCTGATACTTTCTATTTCAGGCCCTCTTTCATCTCCTTGCCTGTAAACTCCCATTATTGTATTTCAGTCATTAAACTTCCCCACTAGGACAGAAACTTTAGCACTTACCTCTAAAGCCATGACTTAGGGCGTCTTCCCTACTTGTCAGCCAACCATCTCTCTCCATAAGGTTTCCCCAAAACCTCTGCTTCCCACAGCTTTCTTCTACATGGCTTTTGTTAGCACCTTACAGTCCATCTTAATTTTATTTTTCCTTTTTTAGTGTCCTCACAAAAACCCTACGGTGTGGTCTTCTTGATTTAGGATAATTGCAGTGGCATAATAGTGTCTCAACAAATGTTTCTCAGTTGGAAAGATTTTAAAACTTGCCTTTAAAAAAGGCTTCATTTCCAGTTGCTGATGAATTCCATGCTACATGAAAAAAAACTACAAGAATGAGAGAGAAATAATGTTCAATTAGTTCAGCTGACAAATATTAGTTGAAGTGCTCGGTGGATGCCTCCCAGGGTAAACAAACAATGAAAGAAAAGTTGTCCAGCACTCAGGAGGCAGAAGCAGGCGGATCTCTGTGAGTTCGAGGCCAGCCTGGTCTACTGAGTGAGATCCAGGAAAGGCGCAAAGCTACACAGAGAAACCCTGTCTCGGAAAAACCAAAAAAAAAAAAAAAAGAAGAAGAAAAGTTTTGCTTTTTCTTTTTGCACATAAAAGGGTTTTGAGGCATTCATACTTGGACAACAAAGGAGGGCATCCTGAACCTGTGGAGTAAATAAGCCTGAGTTACGATTTATGGAAAAAGAGAGGGAGTAACGACTACAGGCGTCAGGGTCACTGGACTCTGGGCCTCAGGAAATGCGAGTGAAGAGAGGCACCCACTCCAGTCGGCTTCTCTGGAAGAGCTAATGAAGACTGACTGAACATGAGAAAGATCAAAGTCAGAACCAGACCCGGCTCTGGAGAAGATGGCCAGCTAGTGGACACCGGCGACATTTGCCCTCAGTGACTGTGGCACGAGACCAGTTAGGAAGTTATTCGGGAACAGGGGAGGGAGACTATTTTTTTGTTTGTTTGTTTGTTTGTTTGAAATAGGGTCTCATTCTGTAGGTTGACCTCACAGCAATTCTCTCGCCTCAGCACCTGAGTACTGGCATTACAGGTATGAACCACCACGCCTAGCTGACAATGTCATCTTAAAGAGAGAACATTTCATTTGATCTGTATGTGTTTATTACCTTTAGAAGAGAACGATTAGGCCTGGAAGAGCAGGCCTATAATCCTAGCTACCTGGGACCTGAGGTAGGAAGGTCAAAAGTTGAAGACCTTGGCCAGTGAGATGACTCAGTGGGTAAAGGCTCTTGCCCCCAGACCTGGCGACCTAAGTAGAGTTCCCTGAAGCCACAAGGTAGGAGAAAACTGACTGATTCCCACAAGCTACACACATACACATACACATACACACACACACACACACACACACACACACACACACACACAATCGATCAAGCAACCAATGTAATATGTAATTTAAAAAATTTAAATTCAAGTCCAGCCTGGGGTACAGGGTTAATTCAAGCCCAATCTGGGTAATTTAGCAAGAACTGTCTAAAATAAAAATGAAAATAGAAGGGGGTGGAGCTGGGTATGCAGGTTAGTGGTGGGGAGCTTGTGTGGCATGCATGAGGCCCTGCGTCCAATATCAATACCGTACAGAAGGGTTGGAGGGAAAGAGAAAAGACAAGCAACCACATCCTGATTCAGCCTTCTCTTTCCCTAGGAACTAAAACTCCTAAGTTGTATCCTATTCAAAACTTACAAGGACTCAACAGAGGACTAGTTTTACAATGCTTCCAACAAGGACTCAACAGAGGAAGTTTTGGAGAGAGCTTAAATTATACATCTATAATTTTAAAAAATATATAGAACCTATCAAATGATACTATAAAGTTTATGAATACATAAACACAGAGTAAAACTATGTAAAGACACACTAGGTACCGGTGCACCACATTCATGACTGCTGTTACCTCTGAATGAAGTCAGATAGAGGAGGAGACAGACATCTGGGAAGAAGAAAGAGGAACTCAACTTTATTTCTAAGACTTGTTCTTTTACTTAAAGCTATCTGGCCAAGCACGGTCACGCACACCTGTAATCCCAGTACCTCCCCTGCTGTCAGAGCTGCCCAAAGAGGCATCTCTTCTCAGGTAGAAGCCTCTAATGTTCCCTTCGATTTTGTGAGTCAACTATGAAACCCCAAAGCCTTTGTTGGGTTCTTTGGAAAAAACAAAACAAACAAACAAAAACAAAATAATAGTAAGGGAAACTGTGATATTCTTCCAAATACCTTCTAAGTTATCAAATGCTAGAAAAGTTAAGGGCCAGATGAGGAGCTGGTAGCTATTCCGTTACAGGCTTAAAACTGTTGTGGCAGAGAGAAGAGTCAGCGGTGACATTGGGAACACTGGCTCTCGGGTTCTAACACCTATAACTGAAGTTCATCCACGCAGGACCGTCTTCTATTCCTTTTAGCGCCCCTCCTATCTAGTCTTTCATGCCCCTCCCCCCTCTACTATCACAGCACATAGAATGCCTAGTTCTTTACACAGAGTAAGCGTTCTTAAATGTTCTAATCAATGATAGTGTCACAATGGGCCTATTAATAGCATCATCAAGACTTGAAGAGTAGAAGGCCTCTAGTTGGTCCAAGTAGGTAAGCCACAACCTCTTGAAGTCGGCTTGCAGCTTCCCAGTGGACACTTTTATTCGCATTTGCCTATATTCTGTGAAAAACAGAAGGAATACAGACAGATCACCCAAGTTTTCAAAATGTTTGCCAAAAGGCAAAGTGATGCCAACGGTGAGTCCGACTCAGACAACGAATTGAAGGACGCTGCCATGGCGAAAAGAAAGTCCCGTGGCGGTTATGAGGATCCAGCGATCACTAAA